GTTATTCAGCCTTGCTTTCACATTACACTTTCGACTATCCGTCACAAGCAAAAATGGTCTATTCCTGTTTGTTCCCCTAGTATTTTACAATTGTATAACTTTGAAACAAAACTATATACATTCAAAATGAGGAAGATGTATACATTGATGAATATGAAAAGGGAGGAGACTATATAAATGTACTTGATTAAATTTCAGTTATTTTGTGTCTCAATAAAATCTGACCTGAAAGGTTTAATGTACTGAACCCATCTAGACCAATATTTTTTTGTAATTTTAGTGAAAAGGTTATTTTTTCCATTATATATATTTCCTTCATTAATTCAACCCAATAATTCATTGTTGGTAAATCTGGGAGAAGCCACTTTCTCATTACGGCTTTCTTCCCTGCTGATATACGGGTGTGTACATTTTAGAAGGATCAAGTCCAAACTGGTGCTGAGCTGGAATGCAAGCTCACATGGTGAAGTGTCGTCCGCGGCTCATCTTCTTGTCCTCTGAAATCGGCACGCGCGTGCCGTCACAGCGGTGGGGTTTGGGCAAAGTAGAGAACCTTTAAGGGGCTCCCCAGCCACAGAGAGCTCACTGAAAGGGGAGCTGCAGTCCTGCTTTCTCAGACCGGCTGTTAAATCTCAGTAACGAAATAAGTTTACCCACGGTATAGAAATCAGGAACTTCGTGCAAGTGTCCTCTAAGTCGCAATGTTGTTCCAAACTCACGTTCGAGTTTCCGCGGATTGTGACGTGCGGCGGCCCTTCCTGCTCACTAGTCCCTGTACTGACTGAGGGACTGTGACGGACGAGTGGATAAGGACAGGCTGTGCAGCGGACGTGTCGCCGCAGAAACGTTCTAACGTGATCTGCATTCGGAGTCATCAAGGAAGTCGTTTGTGTCAGTAAAACCGCCTGGAAGCCGAAAGCGATATTTAATGCTGGATTAGAAGAGCTGGATTCACAAGCCTGCTTGTCTACAGCGTCACAGGGCCGCCTCACCTCACCGGAGGTCTCGTGGCCTCGTTCTGAATCACAGAGCCTGGCGCTGCACAGACCTGGAAGTGACCTCTCTTAGGTTTTACTAGTGACTGTGGTGCATTTTACTTTCATTGCGATTTGAAATGCGCTCGTCAACGCCGATTCTTTCCGACCCTGAAGTATAAAAATAGCGCTGCAGTTCCTCTTTAAGCACTCAGGACTGACCCCCCCCCCCGGTCAGCGGCAGGGTCTGG